ACCACACTTGTTATTGTAGAAATTATAAGTGTTGAATTATTTTGTTTATTCAAATAAATGAATTGTAATTTGAAATTATTTATTTAAGTTAAATTTGTTAATCACATAAAAGTTTATAATTTAAATTTTAGAATTGAATTTTAATTATGAACTTTAATTTATTATTTAATTTTGAAGTAAAAAACATACCGTCTAATTTGAAATTATTTGAGTTATAAGTGTTGAGTATATCAAGTGTGAGTAGTATGAGTAATAGTCTCACTTTGACTAGAAATGTGGAGACTTGAGCATTTTATAAGTGGGAGAATCCATACACATATTACCTTAAGGTTTTGGGTGAGTATGTGGTGCGTCTCTCACAAAGGTGTTGCTCTAGAAAGAAAAAGTCACACAATGTTCAATGTTCCCTAGTGAAAATCTTCCCCAACAGTGGTATCATGAGCCTTTGGTTCGAGTGAAGGAATGACTCACTTGTATCGAAAGTATCCCCACAGGCGGTGGGTTGAGTGTCCTGTTGAAGAGTGTCAACGACGGTACAAGTGTACGTGAATGAAAAGAGCTTCCGCTTAAGGGGGAGCATTGTGGATAGACTCACACTTGCGGGGGAGCGTTGAGTATAGCAAGTGTGAGTAGTATGGATAATAGTCTCACATTTGCTAGAAATGTGGAGACTTGAGCATTTGTAAGTGAGAGAACTCACACATATCACCTTAAGGTTTTGGGTGAGTATGTGGCGTGTCTCTCACAAAGAAAGGTAGTCCCACATTGTTTAATGTTCCCTAGTGAAAATCTTCCCCTAACAATAAACTTGTTAATCATCAAACCGATCAAATTTATTAAAGTTCATACTTCAAATTATACAATTAAATTTTAATTTGGATTTTATGAGAATAACATGTTTGTGTTCAATGAGACTTATCATTATAAGACATATAATAATCCTCCAAAGGTGGATAATGACTTATATAGACATCCGAATTCAGAGTCTAATGTAACTATTGAATACCGAGACATGAAATTTTGAAAACTTTATCACAGAGGATAAGGAATTCGAGATTCCAACAAATGAAGAACCTCACGAGGAAGGTTATCCACGTATTGTCGAAACAAAAATCGAAAGTTCTTCACAGATGATTGAAACACAACCCGAACATAGGATAAGAAAGAGAGCTCGAAAGGCTAAGAATCTAGGACCTAACAAAATTGACTCTCGACTTATTTATTTTATCTAATAGAAGAAAATAGTGATATTTATGTTCGTAAGGTTTCTATTATTCTTCAAGTGGAAGATGATCCTAAGATTTATAAGAAAGTAGTAACTTCAAGATACTTTTTCTTTTTAGAAGAATATTGTTATCCAAGACGAAATAGATTCAACAATGTCAAACCATACTTGAGAACTCGTTGATCTACCTAAAGGATCAAGACCTATTGGATGCAAGTGAGTGTTTAGAAGGGAGTATTATAATGATGATACACTAAACATCTACAATGATAGATTAATAGCTAAGGGTTTTAGACAAAAATAAGGTGTTGATTATTTCGACAAATATGCGCTAGTAGCAAGCAGAACAAAAATTAGAGTATCGTTTGCATTAATTTCTTTGCATGACTTTATAGTTCATCAAATAAATGTCAAAATAATAGTCATAAATAGAGATCTCGATGAGGAGGTTTATATGGAGCAATTGGAAGGTTATGTACTTCCTAGTAATGAATAAAAGGTGTGCAAGCTTGTCAAATCCTTGTATGGATTAAAACAAGCACTAAAATAGTGACATCAAAATGTTTGGCTCTATCACTGCAAGATTCACCAATTAAGGGGAGACACACATGTTAGAGGATACTTTTCAATCATTAAAAAAACACGAATTCAAAGAGTTTGCCATCATCAAAAGGGGGAGATTGTGAGGAATACATCTTATATCTAATTCAATTTTGATGAAGACAAAGATTATCAAAGGAGAAAAGGTTCAAAAGCGTTATGCACATCAATGATGAAGTTGATCAAGAAGGTTTAACATATAAAGTAAAGATTTGAGACAAGTGAACATAAATAAGGTGTTCATTGCAATTTATACTATACTATTTTAAATTGCTCATAATTTCATCTCTCACTTTTTCTAAAATCTTCTTACATCGACATGCATGATTATCTAAAAATCTTCTTTATCTGATTCTTGTTACAAGTGTTTGTACACAAATTTGTGTGAGAATATTTATATATTCATTTGTATCCATGTTAATTATATGATTGATCATTAGCAACAAGATGAATAGAATTTTAGAAACAAAGAGGTTTCTAACTTCCACATTCAAGATGAATGATCTTGGACTAGTTGACACACTTTTAGGGATCAAAGTAAAGTGAAACAGTGGAGGTTATGAACTTAGTCAAATACGCTATGTTCATATAGTGTTTGATAAGTTAAATCACTTACGCTTTAAGAAAGTGACTACTCCATTTGATCCTAGTGTCAATCTTCAAAAGAATGATGGAAAAGTGGTGGCTCAATTGCAAGTGCATGCAATATACTAGAACCGACATAACATTTGCAATTAGTAAAATGAGTAGATTTTACTAGCAATCCAAATGGTGAGCATTGGAAGGACATCATTAGGATTTTTGGATATCTTATGAAAACCAAAAATCTTGCTCTCCATTATGGTATATTTCTTGCCATATTAGACGGATATACCGATGCGAGTTGGATATCGAGTGTTGAGTATCATAAATCTGCATTTAGATAGATATTTACACTAGTTAGGGGTGCGATTTCTTGGAAGAATAAGAACAAATGTGGATCACTCTCTCAACCATATAATCAGAGTTTGAGGCTCTTGCATATGCTAGTGCAGAAGCTGAATGGTTAAGGAACCTTCTGTTAGAAGTTCCATTAACTAAAGACAATGTTTCAAAAATGTTGATATATTGTGGTAGTCAAACCATTTTAACTATAGCATACAAACAGGTTGTAACATAAAGTATAGGCAAGTAAGACTTAGACATTCTTTTATGATAAAATGACTCAGGATGTAATCATTTCATTTACATATATACGATCGAGCTATAATTTGCTTGATCCATTTACTAAACCACTGGCCAGAGATTTAGTAAAAACAACCTCGAGAGGCATGGGTTGAAACTTCTTGAGTAAGAGCTCCGACAATGACGACAACTCAATCTTACGTTAACAGAACATTAACCTTAAGATTCAATGGTTAACAACAAGTCGTTGATTTGGATGTTTGTCTAACATTTCGTGATAATACTGACCTTTAAAATGAGGGTTAAGTTTTATTATTCTTAATGAATTTTAATACTGAGGGTATGTGTCTCATGGAAAAGGACACAATATGAACTTCACCTATGTGAATTTCGAGATGATGTCGTCTCAAAGTGAGAGTTGGAGTTTCTCTCATGAAAAATTAACGAAAATAGGAAAAGCACATGACCATAAATAGTGCTAGGCGATAGATATAGGCGAAGAACCACTAAAGAATGTGCGTAAGGTAACACCGGTATAATCACAAGGGATAATGGTTCAAAGCATAGCTACCTAACATTCTGATTAAACTTTGTGTTATCCTTACTAAGGTTAAGTTCAAATCGAAAGATACTTAATTGTATTAACATTCTTTTCCTCTGCTTTTTAGAATTGGTCTTGTCATTATTAGAACAAGTGTGAGATTGTTATAAATGATTAAGAATTAATAATCTTGAGTGTGTTGCAAAATGACAAGAAAATACGCAAGTAAAGATTAATTTTAAATTAAAAAATAAGCAACACTTGTGAAGTGTTGCAGTAGGTTTGAATTCGAAAATAGACAACACTTTGTAAAGTGTTGCAGAATAAAAGTTTGCAACTCTTGAAAAATGTTGTTGTAGGCGAAACAATGTAACTTTTGGTAAACATAATTTTTGGCAAACATAATTTTTGACAAAAACTTGTAACTCTTGGTAAAAAGAATTTGTTTCACCAAAGGTCGCAACTTTGTGAAATAACACAAATATGATTTATAAATACTTCATTCCGAATTCATAAAAACATAACAAAAAATACATTATCTTTACTAAAATTTTATATATTTTTCTCTACATTCAAATTTTCATCGATCTTATACAAAGTCAAATATATGTTAAATCATCTGAAATATTCCTGTATTTTAACTCTAAAACATTTGAATAAGACCGACTTTGAGTAAGAACAACCAGACCCATAGACCAGAACAAAAAAAAAAATCTCTAAAATTTGGGGGGTGAATTTTAGTAATATTATAAATATGTGATATATATGATTTGTTGTAAGTAAAAATGGAATTGCAATATGATTTGTTGTAAGTAAAATTGTTGTTGTGAGTTTGATTATTGAACGAGGGATATTTAATTTTTATTTTTATTTTTTTTAAAACGGCCAAAAGTAAAAAAACAAAATAAAAATTTGAGACATAAAAGAATCAAACCCCTCTGCACTACGGAAAATTCCTCTCACACGGCTATTGATATTTAATTATAATTTCTGGAATCATATAAAATTAATTTAAATCACGACCAACCTTATATTTAAGAGTCATTAAAATATTTATAAAAAAGTAATTTAGTTTACGATTTTAGCCTCAGTTATTCGAGCCCTACCTTACAGTTCTCGGGCAATACCCAAAACTTAATCTCATTCCATAAAGACAAGAAGCACGTGGCATTGGTTGGGTTAGTCCACAAATATAACGTGTCTTCAAGGCTGAATTGATATATTACTTTATTCTGATTAACCCTTACGTGTGACACGCAGTGTATTATGTGAAAGACACGAGTGAGACAGAATGTCGAAAACAAACAAACCATGTAGCAAGCGACAAGTGGAAGAGCATGTCACCATGTTGATGCATTATTATTATTGCTAATTTTACTACACAGCCTAATTAACTTCTGTTTCCTTGCCGATATCAAAGGACTCCCACTCTGACCCTGTATAAGTTCGCAACATTTCAACGTAGAAAAAATGATCCACACTACAAAGACCGTTTTAACCTTCTCACAAGTCTCTTCCTCACGCCCCCTCTCTTCCAACCTTTGTCGGAAAACATCAACCGTTAGATTTTGCAGCCGTAAGATGGACGAGGCACAAAAGGCTAATACCGAGAAAAAGGAAACTACTGAGCATGGGTAAGCTCAAAATAACACAAACTGGAATCTTTCATGTGATTTGTAAGTTTCTATGTATTCTAAGATGAGTTATTCATGGATGATGTTATGAAGGGATGTGATGTCTCATTCGTTTGGAGAAGGGTATGCTACGAGATCTGATGAAGAAGGATTTGGAGGAACATATGGTGGAAACCAGTCTCTTCAGCAACATAAGTCCGTCGATGAAAATCATCCAGGTTATGATTAATTCATTTGCTTATTGTTATGATTTTGTTGGGATTAAGATGGAAATTGATTATTAAAGTAATTAAGATTTGTTTATTATTATGTGAAGATTATGACAAGACGCAGGGAAGTGTTGTGAAAGAGAAGGAAAAAGCCAGGCACCAGAGCAACTCCACTTAGTGCTTTATGCAAATATTATAACCGTGTATTTTTGTTGCTTTTTTTTTTTTTTTTTAATTTTAAATACTTATTTTCTTGCTTTCCTATCATTTTTGTTGTTGTTGCTGTTTTCTGTTTCTCTTTTATTTCTAATATATATTTCACCTTTGAATTTTTTGTATGTTAACTAGTAAAATGGACAATTGTCGTGTATTATTCTTTAGTAATAATTTATCTTATCCTATTTTTTTTAGGTGACTCTAATAAATTATTATTATTTTTATTATTATTAAAAATAATAGAGCAGAATGAAATAAAATATAGATTATCTTTTTTATTTTATTAAAAATATCTTATTCTATCACTTATATTTTAAAACATGAAAATTTGAAAGGAATAAAACATGAGAATGGAATAGAATGAAATGAATTTTAGTTTTTTCTTAAGGACATAAACTCTACCTCATAAGAGTTTATAATGTTGTGATTATATCTTCCATTTTGAATCAGGTGTAAGTCTAGATATAAACAAAAAAATTTGTTTTTAAAAACAAGCATTCTTTTATAAAAGAATTTTTTTTAGGGAAGCCCTCTCTATTATAATATAGGTGAATAATTTATAAGGTGAAAAACAATTAAAAAAAAGAGGAGAGAAAGTGAATTTTTCAATTTTAATTTAACACATAGCGGTCTCACGAGATTGAAGTCTTTTCACAATTCAATTTTCAGATTGTCAGAATCAAGTGTAAGTTTAGATATAGACAAATTTTTTGTTTTTAAAAACAAGCATTCTTTTATAAAAGAATTTAGTGATATAGATCAATAGTTTATAAGGTGAAAAACAATTATAAAAAAAAGAGAAGAGTGAATTTTTCAATTTTAATTTAGCATATAGCAGTCTTACGAGATTGAAGTCTTTTCACAATTCAACTTTCAGATTGTCATGGTTTTTAATGGTGTATTCTGAACGGTACTGACGAGTCCACTCTTGAGGTGCAGTTTTTTTGTTGTTGATTGTCTCTTGATGTTGATGCATATATCTCTCAAACTAGTGTTAGAGAGGATTTTGATTGTATCTATTATTTGATCATAGTGGAGATTTAAGTGGTCAAATTCATTTTTATTTCTAGTTAAAATTGTGTTGTGTTGTATTGTTTAGTGTGTTTTATTAATTGTCGTTGTATTTGATATTTGAAAAGATTGTATTGTTGTATTATTTTGTTGCATTGCAGATTTTTTTTTTAACAGTATGGAGTCACTAGAGGAGCAACGCAAATGGATTGAAGAGAAGTTGAAGGAACTTAAAAAATACCTTTTTTAATTAATTTTTTGGTGTGGTTGAAATAATCTTCAATAAATTATACATTCAAAAGTATATGGGATTTAATTAAGCAAAATTTTTAGGGCTCAAATCAAATCAAAATACCACGACTGTGAGTTTTATAAAGGACTTTTGAGATTCTTCTTATGAAATAAAGAGAAATTGTTAATGTTTATTTCTCTTACACTTTAACCATTGTTAAACAATGAAAGTTCATGGTAAAAGTATGAGCCAAACAATCATCATTGAGAAGATTCGAGATCAATGGTTCAAAACTTTATTATGCGGTATGCTCAATTAAAAAATTTAATAATGGATACAATTCCTACTTGTAAGTTGCAAAGTAGCCTTCTAATTCATCAACAAAGGATGAAAAATTATAAAGAAAAAGAAAAAGAAAAAGTTCTTAAGATATTCCATGAAGATAGAACTCGAAGAAAAAAGGTAGTGAGACACTATATGAGTATTCTGAAAGAAGCAAAAGACCAACTATACTGAATTTGAAGAGAAAGGAAAAGAGATAGTATTGATGTCCTGTATTGAAATTATATATGACGGGAAGAAATAAGTGTTTTTTATCTCTGGTTGCAACAACATATGAGTGAAACAAGTATTAGTTCTCAGATTTAGATTGCAAAATTTGAAAATGACTGTAGAACGGTTGTATTAGAAAAGACTACAAGATAAAGTTTGATTCAACATGGTAAATGTATGATCTATCATCCAACCAAAAAAAAAAATATAAACAATTATGAGTGAAAATAAAATGTTATGTTTGGTGGCTTCCAATAATACCAAATGATTTTACATGCTTTCAAATGTAAGAAAATTAATATTATCTTTGACATTTTTAGTTTGGTCACTTAAGTTATTAAAGATTTTTTTAAAAGAAAATGGTAAAAATGTTACCTTGAATTCAAATTCCAAAGAAGTTATGTATATAGTGCTTCTTACATGAAAAACCAGAGGTTTTTGCAATGTTCAAAATTTTTAAGGCTTGTGTTTAAAAGGATTCAAATGGATACATATCACCTATTTTAAGATAGATAGAGGTGGTGAATTTACCTCAAATAAGTTTGAAGGATTTTACAAGTTTGAGGCATAAGCAGTTTATTGATTGGAGCATATACTCTTCAACAAAATGGAGCTGCGAGAGAAAAATAGGACGATAATGAACATGGTTCGCTATATGTTTATTTAAGAAGCAAATTTCTAAAAAAAAAATTGGCTTGGATATGTAAAATAGAGTGTGCATATTCTCAACAGATGTCCAACATTAGTTGTGCAAAACAAAACTCCATAAGAGGCATGGAGTGGTGTTAAGTTAACACTTATTTTTTTTGATGTGCAGCTCATGCACATATTCTTTATTAAAAAAGAAGTAAGTTAGATAATAAAAGAAAGAAATGAATTTAATGGAATAAAGTGTTGAACCAAAGACCTACAAACTATATGATTAATTTAACTAAAAATAATCATTAGCAATGATGTTATTTTTGAAGGAGATGTATGTTGGAACTAGGACACCAACAAAGATGATTGCATATTAGATGTTTCATTGTGGAAAATGATTATGAGAATGACGTTAAAGAGAGAGTAATGGAAAATGAAGAGGGAGACAACAATGGCAATGAAGAAGGAGGAAACAATTATTATACAACAAATTCTATTAAACTTAATTCATCTTCTAGTGAATAAAATGAGTATGAATCACCAAATGTGGTTTGTAGGATGGTAAGAAAAAGAACTTTCCTATTTAGCAGATTAAGAAGTTGGTGAAGACTTATTCGATGAAAATAATTTAAATGCAATAATGATCTTCGCTAAAGATAGCCCACTCTCATTTTAGGAAGAAATAAGTGAAAGAACACAATGATACTTGCTTTGGCTACTCGAGGTATATGTGAAAAAATCACTAGGATATGAAAAGAAATGTGAAAAGGGAAAAACTTACAAGATGGAAAAGGCTTTGTATGGCCTTAAGCATGTACCAAGAACATGTTATAACAAGATAGAAGCATACTTTGCTCGAGAAGGTTTTGAAAATTGTTTTTGTAAACATACATTGTTTAAAAAAACAAAGGAAGATAGAAAGATTTTAAGAGCAAGTTTTTATGTTATTGATTTAACATATACTTGGAATGATAGGAATACGTGTGATGAATTTAAAAATGCAATGATGGTAGAATTTGACATATCTGACTTGGAAAGAATGCAGTATTTTTTGAGAGTTGATCAATTCATTTTGATATACTTTCTTTTACTATTTTAATTAGACAACTCAATATTTTATTTTATTATGTTTACTATTTTAGTATGTTTTTATATTTAAGTTTATTTCTTGCTTTATTTTATTTCGCACTTTATTTTTAGCTCAATCTGTTATTTGATACATGCTCACTTTACAAATCATAACTTGAGCTACGTGAATCAAATTAACGTGTTCTAATAGGTGTTGGAAAGCTAAGGGAAAGATCTACAAGTTTTGTATTAAAGTGAAAAGCTGATTCGGAGTGAAGTAGAGTCAAATAGTTGGTTGAAGTTTCAAATTTTAGAAAAAAATTAGTTTTGCGTCGGTTTTTATATTTTTCGACCCAGTTGGGATGAGAACCTAATTCCTTATTTTTTTGTACCTAGTAGAAGTTGTGTTACTGTTCATCACCATTTTTACTATTAGTATTCACAAAAATAATTTGCTTTATATGATTGTAATGGAGAACTAATCCTCTAACGGTTGATCTATTGTAATCGTGCGTCTATCATACTTTGAGCTTCTTATATTTCCCAATGAAATCTATTTTCCTTTCAATTCTTCTCTTTGAATCTTGTTTACTTCATTCGACTTCTCTTAAAGTTGATTGATTTATTTCGATAATTGTATGTTCTTATACCTTAATTGTGTTTGCTTAATCCACATTTGTTTTATCGTGTTTGCTTAACTCACGATTGTTATAACTTATTTGTATGCTTAATTCGGAAATTAGAAATATATATCTTGTAGTATCGATTGCTCTTGTTTGATTGATATTATAATCGAAAAGGGAATAGAGTCCGCTTAGGGATTGAGAATTATTTAGATCGATGATAAGTGAGAGACCGAAATAGTAGATCAACTTATTTGATAATCACTTTTTATAATCACTTATTCTCAATTAAATCAAAACCCCCTTATTCCAATCAGTTGGTAAAAATAAAGACAAGAGTCTTTGTGATACGACATTTGAGTGTCCCTACCCTAAATTACACTTTTAAACTCGATTTTGACTTATGTGCGACAGCGGATCAAATTGACGTTGTTGTCAGGGACTCTTGTAGATTTTAACCAATATTATAAGAGTAATAGGTGTTGTGTTTCAGCGTTCTTGCCCTAGCGTTCTTGCGTTTTGACATTTTTGTATTTTAGCGTTAAAAAATCAGTTTTTAGAAAAATCGTCTCAAATTAGTCAAATTCTTTGTCGATTCATTAAAAAAATCAGTGATCAAAAGCCTCTATTTAGTGACTAAATAGTACACTCCGATCTAAAAATCCAAAATTCTTCATTTATTTTTTATTTTTTTATGAATTTTATACTATTTCCACTGTTTTAGAAAAATCTGGAAAAAAATCCAAAAATTCTTATTTTGCTTAGTTAGAATAAATTTTGTGTTTTTGTATTTTTTTTAATTTTATTTTAATCATTTTGTGTGTGTTTCCGATCTAA